TGGAGGGCCACGAGATGCAAGAGGTTCTGGCTGGTGTGAATAAGGTACATCTTGATGCTAACTTGCCAACAAGTTCATCTTGTTGACTTGGTACCTTGGTCAACCCCCACCCTCGAGATTCCACACTTAGTCTTGAGAATCTAGAAATTGCCTGTGACGTCTTGGTACCTTGTCAGGTGGCCACCTTAGGTGGTCTCCAGAATTAGTTTTTTAGAGATTATTAAGTTGGTACCTTGGTGGCCTATTGGACACCTTGTCACCATCTCCTAGGGTTGGTACCCTACCAGCTTGCAACCAAACTCATCTTGTTGGCTTGGTCTCCATACTTATTATTTGGAGTCTCATTAAGTTGGTACCTTGTCGCTCTGCCAGCTTCTTACCTTGTTGACCCTAAGCATATCTCATCGACTTGACACCTAGTTCCATATTTCCATATCTTGTCTCATCATCTTGACACCCTGTTCCATATTTTCACATTTAGTTTTCAGGAGGTTTGGCAACTTGATATCAAGCCTGTCTTATCGCCTTAGTACCCTGGCTTCTTTCTATCAACCCATAAGGATTCCAGTCTTAGCCAAATTTCATAGCTAACAAGTCTTTCTTGCCGACTGGTACGCTGTTTCCTGGCTACCAAACTTGTCTTGTTTCCAGACTTTGTCAAATTTCATATTTTGTCTTGTTCCATATTTCCATATCTTGTCTCATCGACTTGACACCCTGTTCCATATTTCCATATTTAGTTTTTAGGAGGTTTGGCAACTTGATGCCAAGCATGTATTGTTGGCTTAGTACCATGTCGCCTTGTTATCAACCTATCAGGATTTCAGTCAGCCAATTTTGTAGCTAACAAGTCTGTCATGCCGACTTGGTATCATGTTGCCTGGCTACCAAGTCTATCTTGTCGGCTTGGTACCTTATTGCCTGGCAACCAAACTTGTCTTGTTTCCATACTTAGTCAAATTTCATATTTTGGTACCAAGCTTATATAGTCGGCTTGTTACCTTGTTGCATGCCTACCAAACATGTCTTACCGACTTGGAATCAAGACTTAGTTTTTTTTTATGGTTCCCTAGGTGGTACCCGATTTGGTATCCCGTTGCCTACTACCGAGTCTGCATTGTTTTCGGATTTAATTTTCTTATATGAACCTTTTTTTCAAGTAATGACAAGGTAAAATAGAAATAAACTCGACCCAATACCCAACAAGCAAAAGATAGTGAAGCCAACCTACAAAGTCAAAGAAAGCTATCTCTACAAGGACAACAACAAGGCTTGTCTTGCCACTCTATGGGCAGCCCAATTGACAGTCCTGGGACCGACCTAAATTCTTTACAAGAAGTATAAGAATGCAACAACTGATAAGAATCACGAAGTAAAGGGCTTCCCACGGAGTCTTCACAACATCTACCGTCAAGTTGCCGAATCACCACTTTAGAAGTCAAAACATGTCACCACCAGATACCAAAATTTTCCGTTGGGGCGGAGTAAATCAATTTACTTAATTCCACCATAGTACAGAGATGAAGAGCAAGTGGACAATGGAAAAAGAGGTGTTCAATACTATCTTGACTATCCCAGTAGACTAGGCAGCGAACAAGGCAGTTAATTCAACGAGAACTAAGGGCCACCAATGTTGGCAGAACTACTTTCAAGCATTGCCATAGAAAGAAGTTTAGCTTAGGTGGGATGTCAAATGCCCAATTTCTTTTCCAAATAAGGGGGCCGGGGGTCTATAATATGAGCCACTGATTCACTACTATCTATCAAGATATTTGCCAAAGCAAGCTGGTAGCCTGTTTTAACCGAATAAGACCCATTTTTTGTGAAGTGTCAAATTTGTTTATCTTGTTGTGGTAGTATGGGAACTACCATCTTGCAAATGAGTTCTAATGATTTCTCCTTGAAACAATACCTTAGTCTAGGGACATGTCATACCCCTTGTCCTTCTCTAACAAAAAAGACACTCAAGGATTATTATTTCCTTATTGAAGCCTCAGTTCGAGAGGGGAGGGATTATCAGATAATAACGAATTATCTTTGAATGCATTTATATATTTTTCATCCCCTACCTGCCAACACATTCCTTAAAGGAGGAGATCTCATCTAAATAAAGTACTTCTACACCCCCAAAAAGGGTTAGAGTATATGGAAGCGTTCAAGATTGTACTTTGACTGAAGTACCTTCCGTAATACAAACGAATAAGAAGTGAGTCAGGATTTGACCAAATGCGCCAGCAAAGCTTGGCTAATAGAGCTTGATTGAACGCCCTAAAATCCCTGAAACCTATCCCTCCATGAAATTTACTTTGGGATAGTCCTTTCCAAGAAACCCAATGAATTGGATGGTCAAAATTATGAGAGGGTCCCCACCAAAATTTTGCCATAAGCCCATTTAAATGTCGGCAAGTGTCAACCGGGAACTTAAAGTAAGACATACCGCGGGCCGGTATATTAGTAGCGGAAGTCCTGATTGAAGTATTCTGACATGCCGGAAGGATCTTTAATATGACAATAAGAAAAATCTAATGAGGACATAAAGGAAGAAATCGTACTCCTAGATGACATTATTTCACTAAGGAAAAGAAACGATTTAGCCAAACAACGATGGCTTTTAATCGTTTGGAATGTCAAGGGACTCCCCACACCGTGTCAATTCCACGCAAATACATTCATTTATTGGTTTGGGGCCACTTGGGCTTGGCTACCTCCACTTTTTTCGAATTTTTTGGCTCTGATTCCACCACGCCTTCCTCCGGCTCCCGGATGCATATCAGTGCATTTCTATGAGCATAAACAATAGAAGATCTCGATGATTCCAACATAATAGCCTTCCCTTTCGACTTCCTATCAACGAATAGTCCAAGAGGGGAGCATGACATTGCGGATTCTGAAGATAGTAAATGGGCCTCGAGGTTTAGAACGCCCAATTCTCAAAATCCAAAGGGTTAAGATTCACCCAAATCTTCAAATAAAAAATCTCGATTTTCATCACAAAATAAGTTACCTAGCTCAAATGATTGGGTTGGTTCCTGCACTTGCAATGGAATCAGATCTTCCTTGATTGGGCTTGTCTCAATACTTCCTACTTATTTCTATTTTTAGTCTTGCCCTCCCCAACAGGCCCAATGGCCATTAGAATCGCATCCTCATGTTGACTTGTAAATGACCTTCTACTCGGCCCAGGTAAGAGCCCAACAACAACTCTCTTCAGCCAGAGCCGGATGCTTCCTTCAATGAGTGTTGGGCTTGAAAATGGGCGAGTTTTTGGAGATTGCAGTTGGGCTTAAATGCGCCTATTCCCCCTCTCCCCCTTTAGGTTCCCCTGCCTACCACTGAACGAGACAACACTGGAGGAGAGTGCCTCTGATTCTGATGAGAAGACGACCCTTCCAGCAGTAGTCGTGCACCAATATGACGTGGGGCAGTTTGCTCATTTTGTCTACAAACATTAGCTCCTCTATTACGGCCGCCATTGCATATCGATGCATATGAAAATTCATTGATTTTAGGACCCATTTTATTTCCAATGATTCCCAAACCGAAACCATCGTCTCCTGTAACCAATCAAAAGAACAGTTATGCTGATTATGGCCAATACGTCTACAACGGAAGCATGTCGTCTTTACACCCTCATATATTAGAGAGACCCAGAAGGAGGGAGCAACAGATCCATCAGGTTTCCTCATCATTGCTTCAAGCCTGTGTTGGAGAGGGGTCGATACATCAATCAAAACTTTAGCTTTGAAGACACATCCCAGGCTCTACCAAACCGCATACATAGCAGCGTCCTCCACGGTGCCTAGGCTTGAAGCCAGCAACGCACCAAGAGCCACTGTTCAATACTCTTCTGGCATCTCCCAGAGTTGTCCTGTATATGGCACCCTTGCCAATTCCTGGACTAGTTCTTCCGGGGGAGTCTCCCACTTCTTAAACGTGAGGATTTTCGATTGAATGATCCATCGAGCCTTGCCAAGAGCGTCATCATAATCAGTTTGATTTGCAAAAACTATATGGAAGAATCCGAGTCCGACATCGAGAACAGTGACAGGCTGACAGCTGCTCTTTTGGACCATATATTACTGGCCATGTGTTGTGCTCGGATTCGGGATGGATGGGATGTTAGAGGCACATTTCATACCAACTAGCTTGTTACAAGAGAGAGTAGACATCGCTATAGAGATCAAGGGGACACTCGATCGCCAAGGTCAATCAGAGCAAACTTAGCCACTTAGACCCACAAACTTGTCTTTTTCGCAATATGTGGTAATGGGATGAAGGAGGCGCACAAACAAAGAAGAAGTCGGGTAAAAAGAGATGATGTGATGGGCAGAGGACGACAGGTGGAATGAGAAGAGGGAAGATATGCAAGGGTTTGAATTTTTGTTTTTATTCAATTAAATTATCTTATGTGGACAAATATGTCCCCTCAATTCTAAATTTTGAAGCTTTTAAAAGAACTCTACTTCGAGACTTGATCTGGCTCAGTGTTTATCAGCAATAGTAAATCCTACCGAGTGTTTCTTTAACCACCAACCATCATACATAATTTCCAACAATTTTTTTCTTCCTTTCAAAACTGCATGTTGATAAATCTGCAAATATAGAAATTCATTTCTGACAATTGAAGTTTTTCAAATGGTTACTTTTTAAAAACTAAAAAGAATTGTGCAGATAACATTTAAGACAATTTGAAAAATCGAAAAAAATGATCAAAACCCTTCAATAGGATCTGGCTCAGTGTTTATCAGCAATAGTAAATCCTATCGAGTGTTTCTTTAACCGCCAACCATCATACATAATTTCCAACAATTTTTTTTCCTTTCAAAACTGCATGTTGATAAATCTGCAAATATAGAAATTCATTTATGACAATTGAAGTTTTTCAAATGGTTACTTTTTAAAAACTAAAAAGAATTGTGCGGATAACATTTAAGACAATTTGATAAATCGAAAAAAATGATCAAAACCCTTCAATAGGGCCTCTTCTCCAACTCCCAAACTCAAATTACTTGCTAGCATTGTATTAATGTATCCGATTCGAAAAAAATGATCAAAACCCTTCAATAGGGCCTCTTCTCCAACTAAAAAGAATTGTGCGGATAACATTTGAGACAATTTGATAAATCGAAAAAAATGATCAAAACCCTTCAATAGAGCCTCTTCTCCAACTCCCAAACTCAAATTACTTGCTAGCATTGTATTAATGTATCCGATTCGAAAAAAATGATCAAAACCCTTCAATAGGGCCTCTTCTCCAACTCCCAAACTCAAATTACTTACTAGCGTTGTATTAATCTATCCGATTCCGATGCCACATTCATATACATGGGAAAGAAAGAAAGAAAGAAAGAAAGAAACACAAGAGGTAATACTAATCATACTTCCTGAATAACAAGACTTGAATAATAACACTTCCTATATCCGAACAGAAGGAAGAACCTCCTACATAAACTTAAGATTATCATGATTACTTTGGATGTGGTATATTATGTCTCAAATCCCTATCTTTCTACTCATGCCGCTTAGGCCAAAATTCTGCTAAGAACAGTGAGATGTTGTGGAAAAAGTATCTAAAACCTAACGACCCAAAGCAACTTCCACCACTCAACCATCAATCTTCGACATCGCTTCCATCATCATGGCTCCAAGTATTCGGGCCCAGCACTTGAAACCTGAAGATCAACAAAGACTCAGTTCTTCAATCGCAGAAGAAAATCAAACCGTCGTTAAACGTACATACTATCAAGGGGTAGTTTCAGGGTAGCAATTGCCACCTCTCCAGGATGAATTTGCCTACTTTGTACTGTTGGGACTCCTCATGTGCAGCTTCCTGAAAAAGCAGTTCAGGAGTAACCGTGTGAAGCAAAGAAGGTAGTAAGAGTTGGATGGACAATCAAAATGATTCAAGAAAAAGATCCAGAGAGTGTTTACATATTTCCAGCCTACGATTGAGCCACAACCAACGCAAAAAATATCTACGACAGTGTGCATTCCAGTGAGCATGTTTCGCTCTTCTTTCTCCCCAACCATGACATTCACACTGTCATCATGGACAAACCAACTAACCATTATGCTAGGAACTGTAATCGCAAACATGGAAATCAATGACAAGTTGCATACGACCTAGCTAATGCCAGTGCCAGGTAATGACAACGCATTCCCACGTTTCAATCAATTTCAGCTGCACATTTTCAAGCGAGAAATACTTACACCTTATCGAAGAGGTAAGCTTCTCCATGCTTGCAAAGGAATCTCTGCAACATAGGCAGCACAGTAGATTAGACTGGCATCGATTGCCCATAAATAAGAACCATATTACCTACCCACAGCTTCCCCAATCATACCACATGTCAGGCATACTTGCGAAACCATAAGGCACAATGGAGAATGACAATGGCGAACGAAATTAACTTAACAAGTTACCAGCATTAAAAGGAAAACAGGGTCCAACCAGAGAATCCGTCTCATGTTTTACCCAAGCACAAGAAATCGCTAGGGAAAGGGAAGGAAAACCTTGGAAAGGATATCTTCGAAAAGGGCGAGATGAGTGTGGCAGTACTTGCAGCTGTAGACGTTTCCTTCCAGATCGAGCGTAAATATCCTCCCCATTTTGGGCTTCCTCCCACAATTGCAGATGCTTCTTCTTCTTCTTCTTCTTCTTCTACAACTCGCCTTGAATCTCAACTGCGAATTACCCACACAGAAGAAGATTGCGGTATAAATAAAGAAAGTGGGAGCGTAACAAGAAGAGCGAAATCTAAGGGGGAACGATCGATCCCGTATTTGGGCGCTAATCAAAACTACAATGCCGAAACAAAATTGCTCGCTCTTGTTGGTTGCAACCGCTCAAACAGAGTGAGCCGTAGGGGAATAAAAAACAGATGGAAGCAAAGAGAGCGAGAGAGAGAGAGAATTGCCGATTCCAGCCGATTGATTTGATCTTACCAGAAGTTGCCAAGGCGCGGAGAGTTGCGGGGACGTCTCAATCTCTAGTCCCTCCTCCTCCTCCTTCGGTCCTTCTTTTATAGGAGTTTGTCACGCCGTTGGTGTGTGAGCCAATTACGAACTCTGGACTACCTACTCTAATATTAATTAACTTATTATTTATTATACTCCAAACTTTTTCACCAAGAAAGTACAACACACAAACATTCTAAGTAGTAAGTTCTAAAAATGAATAATAAAAAAAACGTATTGGAGGTTGTACAGAAAAATTAACGCTAAGGTATTTTATGCTGAAACGTGGTTTAACAGTAGTTCAACTGTGATTCAAATATGGTCGCCGATATGGTTTCACAATCCGTACTAGAAATTCAACCCATATATTTTTTCTTTGAACCTTGGTCAGCACTCAGCAAAGCGGTCAATTATGCATTAGGTCCATGGCCACTGGAGTAAGGTATTCAGACATGAGAAGGTGAAGGAACTTTATTTTTTACAAGGGAACTACTCAATTCGAATTCGAAGCTTTTAACACTTTCAAATCTCTTGTAGAAATAAATTATATGTTATTGTTTTCTATATGCGACTCAATGTTATCTTAAAATAAGAGGAACACTAGCAATATTTCCTGAATGATGATATTGAATTCCATTTCGATTTTCGAATGAAGCATGACGTGATCAACAAGCAACCCATGTTACAGGACTCTTCTTAGTTATCTTACACTCTTAGGAGTCCTCTCGCCTTCTCAGTTTAGGTTTCTGTTCCTTTCTTTCTGTAATGCGAGTTCAGCCAATTTGGTGGCTCATTTATTCGGCATGAATAAGCCTTCTTTTAATCTAGCTAGCAACTTGAAATCAATCTAATTTCGATTGATCTTATGCAAGTGGAAATGGTAATGAAACTAAACCAGATCATTGCCAAACAAATCAAAGCACAATATCCATCTCTACTTCAAAACCTCCTTATCAGCGGGAAAAACCAGCAGCAATTACTGATACTACGAGCATCAGCATTGCACCCTACCGTATCCACCACAGATACAGAGGGGGAGGAACAACAGGCAGACACATACCGCGACTGCCCAGTAATAGAACAATACAGCACAAATTGATCATCATAAAGAGAAGGGCTGATGGCCTCAATGATACTTCGTAGAAGAAAGTACGAAGAATGTCAAGAATTCTCTCTAATCATCCGATAGCAGGTTATCACTAGCTCAAGTTTCACGGCCAAAATTGTGGAATCGAGATTCAAGAGATTAAAAACTGCAACATATGGCAGTAATGCAACAACCAAAAGAATGCCTGATGAAATGAGCCACAAAATATAAAAATGCTTCCTTCAACAATCTATCTGCATCTCCAACTTACAGAGGCAGAGTCTATTTTGTTGATGTTTCATCAGGAGGGACACAGCCTGCCTTCTGGGACTTTTCGCTCTACTTCACCCATCCTTTGAGGTGGCCATACAATCCGGACAACTCGACCACTTGCTAGTCCCAATGGAATCTGCCATCAGCCATCAACTTCAGGTTAGAAACTGAATAGACAATGCACAAGGTAGACAACATCTGGTTGGCTATGTCATTACCGGGCCAAAAGATCGGGAATCCATGCTGGGAATCTCATTGTCTCCCTCAACCCAGCAATGGCCTTCTGGAACCTTGACCACATCATATGTATGTGGAGTTCCAACCCAATCACCAGGTAACCCTATTATCCTCTTTACCAGTTTCTCCTTGTGATCAACTGGAGAACTGAACAAGTATCAGAAAATGAGCACGCAACATATAAAAACCTTTGCTATGCTTCCTAATATAATATATATGAAACCTAAAATCTTCCATGCCCCAGTTCTGAAAGAAATCAACAACTACTTGGCTAGCTATCCGGAAATCAATTGGCCGGAGAACCTACCGGAAAACAACAACGTCGCCGCGGGAGAAATTGTACCGCCGGAGGCATAACTTCTCTACCATCACTCGGTCGTCTGTAGAAGCACACAAATCAGCATAAATCACCATTCAGATTCGTACATACAACAAGGTGTAGTAAAGATTTGAGCAAAGAGTAATATTGGGTGACGAACCAAAGAGGGGATTGGTTTCCGGATTAAACGTCGGCGACATGGATCGACCACGAACTGGGACAACGCTAGCGAATCTGTCTGTGATTGGAACTCCAATAAGCCCCAGCACAAAGAACTTCTTTGCTGCACTGACCAAAACTTCACGAGCTGCCGCCATGTCAGCTACAAGATGATGCCGCCCGTCAGGTGGATATCGGCCACTATCTGAGAGCCAGGCATCGAACAATGAGCGAGGAATAGAAGACGCGGATGCTGGAATACGACGGGGCGGGGAGGCAGGGGTTGACGGCGGACGAGAGAGTGAGAGACAACAAAGAGACGGCGCGACTGGTGCGAGCTACAGAAGCATAATGGAGGTTACCCTCGGCCACGATGAACTGGCGGTGAGCGACGCAGGAAGGGGAACTGGCAGATGGCAGAGTGGGGAGGCTCAGATTTGAAGGAATCGGGCTGCAGCAGGGAGAATTGGGGAGATAAAGCCCTAATTTGGGGATTTTGGACTTTCCTCTCTCTTCTTCGTTAATCCGCGATGGGGTATGTCGAAGCTACCGGCTGGGGCATGGGTGTTGGACGGTTAGCCCACGAAACAAGGAAAAAATCCCAAAATATACATGTTTTTAAAAAAAACTTCTAAAATACACATGGTTGGGCATCACCGCTGTTGTCAACCGCAGTGAATGCATTCACCGCGGCAAACCAAAGCGGTGAATGCATCATCGTGGTTGACGGTCGCGGTGAATGCCTGACGTAAAACTGAAACTTCAAACAAACGTAACTTTGCGCTCGGTTATCTGATTGTAGCGAATTTTTTTTTTGATTCCACATAACTTTTCAAGATCTTTCAATCTAAAATAAGACTTAATTCCAAAAAAAATTATTTGCTACCCGGAACGAGCAATTTTTCGATTTTGACAAACTTTGGAAGATCATAACTTTGTACTCCACAATCCGAATGTCATGAAATTTATTTTAATTTTACATAAATTTTGAAGCACTACAACTTTGATTATAACCATAATTTTGGAAAGTATGTGGATTTGTGAAAAGTAAAGGCAAAGTTATTCCCAAAATCCCGTATAACCAAAAATACTTCTTTTTTAAAAAATTATTTCCTAGTCAAAGTTGTATTTCTTAAAAAGTTATGCGCAATAAAAAAAAACTTTACGACTTTCGGATTGAGGAGCTAAAAGTTATGTCCTTCCAAAGTTTGGCAAAATCGAAAAATTGCTCGTTCGGGGTAACAAACGACATTTTTTGAGATGAAGTCTTATTACAGATTGAAAGATCTTGAAAAGTTATATGGAATCAAAAAAATATTTCGCTACAATCGGATAACCGAGCTCAAAGTTACGCTTGTTTGAAGTTTCAGAGTTAAGTCGGGCATTCACCGCGGCTGTCAACCGCGGTGATGCATTCACCGCTTTGGTCTGCCGCGGTGAATGCATTCACTGCGGTTGACAACAGCGGTGATGCCCAAACATGTGTATTTTGGGAAATTTTTTTATAACGTGTGTATTTTGGGAATTTTTTTTATAAAACATGTGTATTTTTGGAATTCATCCACGAAACAACCGGTTCAGGTGAGTAGGGGTGTAAACGTGACCCTAAAAATCCTTTGACCTGCCTCGATCCGCGCAGAGTTGGTGCAGATAAGTTATCTACAGGGTCAGTTTAGCGTCGGGTCGCCTTTTAATCTTGTAAGGGTCGGGGTGGGTCGGATCAGTTTAGGGTCGGGACATTTTTTGACCCTGTGACCTTTAGAAATGAAATTTCACATACAAACACATTGGATCTGTTTGTAAAGTTTAGGTACTAAATTGTAAAAATAAATAAATTTGGGTACCAAAACATAATTTTACCGTCAAAATTTAAGGACTTATTTGTAAAAAAAATAAATTTTAGGTACTAAATTATATAAAAAAATTGGGTACCAAAAAGTCATTTGTAAAAAATTCAGTATGTTGATAAGGGTCGACCCACTGACCCGACCTTCCCTGACCTGCCTCGATCCTAGAGGGTCAAACAGGGTCAAGAAGGAAATAGGGGCGGGTTGGGTCAGTTATACATCTTGACCCTTTAGGGACGGGTCAGACAGGGTCGAGTCAGGGTCAAAGGTGGGTCAGGGTAATTTTCAGCTCTACAGGTGAGGTGCGTGGTTAGGCTTAGGCTAGATTGTTGTTTTGATTTTGAGTGGGTCAGACTCAACAAGTGAGATTTAAAAATAATAATATTATTTTTTGGGTATAAATAATATTATTTTTGGGTATACTTATATTGATTAACAAGTCATTTGTGATTTGAAGAAAACAGTCAATCGTGTTTGATGATCGGTCTACCGCTTTCTGTGTGGACCACTTCCGATAAACGATCTATCAGATGACACACTTATTTTTAACTTACACATTTTTTTTTGAAGTATGTGACCACTTCCGACAACCCGTCTATCGTTTTCGGCAAACGATCTACCACTTCCAGCGAACGATCTACCGCTTCTGGCGAATGATCGAGTAGATGACACAATTACTTTCTACTTACATTAAGAAAATAATGGACAATAGAAAACCTACTATACGAATTATTTTGTAGTAATGCAACATTATGCAACTGAATCTCTATGAAGATTATAGGTCTAGACAATAAGAAATAACACTCTCTTGTAACAATACTGGAATAAGAGCCTGCAAAAGTAAGATGATAGAAGATGTATGGACGCAGAAGATGACACAATTGTGTAACAATTATATCTATTTTAAGTGTCTTCATAGCAACAAAAATCCTCCACCACAAGATAACTATAGAAGAAAAAGCAAGCAAACTTAGAATTTGAAGGAAAGAGGAAATTTTTTACAAAGTAAGTCAAATCCAAGAAATAAATGTGTAGAGCATTTACCTAATCTACGAGAGAATATCCCCCGAGAAACTTCTCATTTATACTTTAACCCTCTAACCAGCAAACGTATATATTAATATTAGATATCTCTAATTAAATGTGTTGACTTCACTAGCAGTGTTCATCCGATCGACTGGTTGTTGGAAGTGGTTTACCACGCCCCCGTGAGTTGATTAATTTGCTGGTGAAGTTTGAGTTATTGTGGACATCGGCTTCGAGTTGTCAAAGCAGTTTGGCAGGCAACCCGGAGCTATTGTTGTTAGAGTTTGGTTATTCTCATCCAAGTGCGTTACAATCTGTGGCAGTGCAGTCTTGAGATGAAATGCACTTGGGTCCATGAGAGTAGTGTCAAGGTGTTGTTGCTAATTATGCATATCCCAAAATTCTTGGGGTCGGAGAGCTCGGATTTGTGCCAAGAGCTTCGAATCCGTTCGTGGTTACGACCCTTCACAAAGTCTGTCATTCAACAACAATTATGGAGCACTATATGATTTTTGTGTCTGCTTTATCACTGTGTTGTTGTTGTGCTTCTCAACAGTTGCAATCTTATGGGCTTTCTCAAAGTAGGCGAATGTGTTGTTTGTTGTCAATCCATGTACTATTTTGTGGCTCTATTGGCTCGACTCTTACTACACATCCCAATCGACGATCAAACATAATCGACGACCGGGTGTAGTATAGGGTAAGCAAATAATAAAAATATCAAACCACAGGTCTCTAGGTGTACCCTACTTTGAGTTTAGGTTTTTTTTTTATAGCCAACCTAGAATAGTGATTAAGAAACTAACATATCTATACTAACCTAACCACTACCCTAACTAATTAAAAGTGGTGGAGCTCTCTTAAAAACTAATCTCCCTAGTTTCTCCATTCAGATCGAGGTTGAGTACTATCCTAGCTCGACCGACTCAATTCGTCTCGCAAATAGGAGCTAGACTCCCTCAGGGATTGACACAAAATGGCATAGCGGTGGATGGTGGTGCTCTATTCAACCTATGGTTTCATATACCATCAAGACAGCGACCAAATCAACTCCATCATTGATTGCCTGGAATGATACAAGAAAGGAGTAACCCGAAGACGCCAATAGCGGGATCTAAGAGGACTAACTCCCTCCTAGGTCAAAACCTCAATTAACAAAAAGTGACAACCACACTCATGCAATTCATGTAAACCATCCATCAATTAAATAGAATGATCAATCAAACATAGGATCCGTCACATACATCAACATCAAACCTGAAATCTAGACCTAGGGTTCAACAACCTAAGAGTAGAGGTTTAGTACACAGAGAGGAGAGAGATTACAATACAAATCACAAAATCTTCCATCTTCTTCTTCTATGGGCTGATCTCCAAGTTTCAATGGTGGGTGACTCCTCCAAGTTAGCTCCAAGGACCCTCCAGATCTCTCTCTAGAAGTTCCCCTTTGGGGTTTTGGGTCGAAACCATAAAGAAGAACCCAGAAATTCCAAACCCAGCCAAACTCCCCTTTTTCTCTCTCAGTTGCCTTCTATTTATATTGCTTGAGAGCCAACATCACGGTCTGGATGTCACGACCGTGACATCAAACTTTCCCCTGTGATATAATCCGAATACGCAGGAGTCTACTGCCTTTTTTGTCCGATGTCACGTTCAGCTAGAATTTGTGACGGTCTGGTGACCGTGACAACTGGCCTGTCCGTGAGGCGAGCTAAACCTCCTGCTCTTAGCAATCTTCACGGCCAGCAATCAATCTTCACAGGTATTGGACCATGACAATTTCTCCCAGCCCGTGATCTTAGCACTTTTTGCATACTTCGGCGCTTTTCGACCTCCATTCCTCCTGAACTCATCCCCAACCTTTCCACACGTGGTAGGACGTGGAATGTAGCAAAAATATCACAACGTAACCTAGCATAAAATAGGTCGACGGACGTCATTTACCAAGTCAAACGATCAAGAAATGAGGGGTAAAATATGTGCAATTAGGCACGAATCAAACTCCTCCACACTTGGAGGGATTATTTCTAGAATTTTTTTAAATGGGGTTAAGGGACCTTTAGAGCGAGGCTCGAGGGCTGGATTTTGAGGAGAGGATGTTCTAGTGATTCAAAAGGGGTTTTAAATCGAGAAAAGTCGTCTATGAAAATGGATTCTTATTAATAGGTTTCCCCAAGATAATCCGGCTAAGGAGGGTTTTCTTCGAGGAAGGAATCGAGGAGTCATCTTTTCGAGGTGAGTGTAAAGGGGGTAATATCTCAGTCGTAGGTCTTTTAATTTATGCCTTTTGTTTCAAGCTATTAATTAGTTAATTTTGAGTAATGCGCGATATGTGTGTGAGGCATCCACCGCTTACTTAAGGGTGGAGGCACGCGTTGTGCTATGTATGAGTGTATGGATGTATGATTGTAAGGGTTGGTTAATGGTAAGATGAACCCCCGGGCGGTTGGGTCACTACTGGACGGTGGTTGACCGGGCATGGACTGGACGACGAGACGTAACACAGTGCCATTGCCGAGTTTGAGTATGCAACCGGACGACAAGACGTAACGCGGTTGGCAT